CTCGGCGGGAAACTTGAGGCAGAGGTGCCTCATGGAGATGATGGCCTCGAGGTCCTCGAGGGCTGGCCGGCCGAGGATGATGTTGTGGGCGCAGTCAATGTTGACGACGACGAACTCCACCTCGAGCTGGGCTCTATGGAGCCCGTCGCCGAAGATCACCGGGAGGGTTATTACCCCCTCGGAATCAATAGTGTCGCCGGTGAAGCCGGCAAGAGGGGTCTTAATGGGCCGAAGGGACCCCCTCTCCAGATGCAGCTCTCTGAAGGTGCTGAGGTACATTACATTGACGGAGCTGCCCGTGTCAATGTAAGTTCGGTGAATAATGGTGTCGTTTATTTCGGTCCGAATCACCAAGGCATCCCTGTGAGGGGAAGAAGTAAGAGGGAGATCTGCGTTGGTGAAGGTGATGGGTTCCTCCCTCAGTCGCTTTACCGGGGGCATATGAGTGACTTCCCCTACGTAAAGCGATTGAGCCCACTTCTTTCGCTGGCTGGTGGAATCGCCCCCAGTATTGCCACCGGTGATCATGAGGATGTGGCGTTTTTTCTCCTGGTAGTGGGGGTACTCCTCCTCTTCTTCCTCCAAGTTTCCGATCTCCCTCTTTTTGCCGAGGGGGATGGTGTTCGGGTTCACCCAAGCGTTCACCTTCGTGTGGTGCCCTCGGGGAGGTCCCTGATGAGAAGGTCCTTCCTGCCGAGGGCTCTGAACAAATTGGGACAGGTGTCCCGCTTGTATTAACCTCTCGATGGCCGTTTTTAGCTGATGGCAGTCATCGGTTCTGTGTCCCTGGTGCCGATGGAAGCGACAGTATGGGAACTGAGGGTTGATAGCATGTACCTCCGGGGGTGCGCGAGAGTCGCGCTCAACGAGGCCCCTCTCCTCGGCAAAATCAAGGATGATGCTGACGGGGTGCGTCAATGGTGTCCGAGGGCGGTCCAGGAGAATGGGCTGGGCCCAAGTCTTAGGGTTGCTCTTATAACCTCCCCCGGGCTTGGCTTGGCCTTGCCGAGGGCGGTCATCAAAGGGTCCTGAAGGTTTGGGGTGATTCGGAGGAGCCCCCGGCCCTCGGTTGTTTTTGTTGTCAGCCCTCGGGGGCTGCTGATCCGGATGTTGATGATATTTTTCTACCTCCTCGGCCTCAGCATATCGGTCCCCCCGCTGCAAAGCCCTTATGTAGTCGCGGGGGGGTTCAATGATGAGGCTCCTCGAAAAGTTGCCGGTGCGAAGGACGGTTTGTAGGAGGGCCAGGAGGGTCCCGTCATCAGCACCGTCGACTTTGTCGGCTTCCGTCCTCCATCGCTCCAGGAAGTCCCGAAGGGTCTCATCCCTCTTTTGGCGTATTGTTAGGAGGTGGGAGAAGTGCTTCCTTGTGCGACGCCTCCCGGCAAATTGTGTCAAGAATCGCTGGACGAGTTCTTGCCATGAATCAATGCAGCCCTCGGGCAGCCTGTTGAACCACTCGTATGCCGGCCCCTCTAAGGTGGAGAGGAACCAACGACACAAATATTCGTCTGACGCCCCTACCATCATCATGTTGTTCTAATATTTGCTGTAGTGTTCCTGGGGGTCCGTCTTCCCGTTGTAGGGCTGTATGTGCTGCCCTCGGTATTTTTCCGGGATCCGGGCCGTCAATACCCTTGGGGTAAATGGCGTTCGGGTCCGTAGCTGGATGACAGGTTCCCCGGAGCCCTCGGCCACCTTCTTCTGTAACTCCTCCATTTTGGCCATCATGGCCTCGTATTTGAGGTCTGAGTGAGGGGTGGAGGTGGTGGCGTGAGCTTTGTTGGACTCCATTTCGTCAAGCCGGCGTTGGAGGGCCGCAATAATCTCGTCCCGGGGATCTTTCGGGAGGGTCTCCGCCCCCTGCGAACGAACCCGGGCCGAGTGGGCCTGGTTGATCTGGTGGCGAGCATCATTGACATGAAGGGGTGCCTTGCCTTTGTCCCGAGGGGGACGCTACTCGTCTGCCCTCGAGACAGACCCTCCACTTTCCTGAGGCCTTTGGAGTGCCTTTCCTCCGAGGCGGTCTTGGACCCCTCGGCGGTCTGGCCCTCCTCCGAGCCGGTTGAGGGCGGAAGTGCGGGGCCTCTCCCTGTTGTCATTGTGGCGATCCCGGGACTGTACTTCCTGGGAGGACGTGTCCTGGGCCACTACCCCTTCATCGTTCCTCACCCGAGGGGTGGGATTTCCGAAGGGGTGTGGCGGAGGGGGAAGTATGATGTTTTCCCCAACCTGGGGGTGAGCCGGAGCCAGGGTGCCGAAGGCACCCGGGTTCTGAGTGAGCGTTTGGATGAAGGCGGAGAGCGCCGATTGCACGTCGATGGTGAGAACCGGAGGGCTGACTTGGTCATCGCTCCGGTTTTTCTTCTTGGCCTTGATGCCGAGGCGGGCATCGGGGGCATTTTGTAGGATCTCAAGGCGTAGGTCGACAGCCGCATGTTCCAGCCCAACGATGACACCGCCCTCGGGAGCCCTGTGAGAGGCTTCGGGGGCGTTGACGTCACCGAGGGCCAGGTTCTTGTCTTCTACGTTCTTTGAGTTGGCACGTGTTGTTCTCACCATTTTGGTAGAGGGCTAGTGTTTGACGAAAGGGGGAGGGTTTCTTACTTGATTGTTCGACCTCTCAACGAGAGCACCAAATGATGGATAGTCTACCCGGGGGTATATATCCGAAGGGTTATTGTGGGGAATAACTTAGAGAGAAGTCAGAGCAGGTAAATGTAGAGAGAGAGAGAGTGTATTATAAATGTGGAGCGTTTTCAGCGTGGTTACAAATGGGGAAATGGGGTGCTATTTATAGTAGCAATAAATGCCGGACAGCGACACGTGTCAAGCGCTCATTGGCCGAGGGGTCACCTCAACTGGTTGGCGCTGGCAGCCGCCTGTGGCCGCATTTAATGCGGCTGTTGGATGGGACGTCTGTGCAGGGTACGGTGATCTGTACGCATGTGAGGCGGATATCTTGTCGAGTGAGATGCCTTCGGCTATAGAGCAGTAGCCGAGGGCTCCTCCAACCGATGGCACCCTGGTGCCGAGGGCTCACAGTGCCGAGGGCTACTGTTTTCGCCGTTTTCTCCCAGTTTCTTAATTTGCTTGAGAAACCCGTTCTGTGAGAGTTTAGAGCCTTCGGTCAGGGGGGCGAAGGCACCCCTGACGCGTAGTGCGGGCTGCTTGGTACTCTGGGCGCTGTGATTTGGGCATGTTGGGCCTTCTGGGCCTGTTGGGCCTTCGCTGGAGTAGTAGGAGTCTGTGGGCCGGGGGTTCCCGGGCCATATACTCCATCAATGATATTGAAGTATGGACAAGGAGGAGTCCTATACACTCATAGGCATATGAATGGGTTGGGGTTTTTAGTCAAGGATATTGATTATTAATATTTTCCCAAATAAAACGTTGATCTACGGATCGGGTATTTTTCCAAGTGTATATGTACTACTAAATATTTCTTAACTTGGGGGGAAAGACTATTTATATAAGTATCACCCTATGTTTGAGTCTTATACTTGAAACGCTATTTATTCTATATTTAGCCTGCTACTCGCTCGGTACTTGTACTGACCCTTCGGGGGGCCTACCATTTCAGGTTGAAGTTAAGGCTTGTCGTCTACACCTTTGCACGGTGAAGAGAATCCAGAGGAAGACGTGGTTCGTGCTCCCTCTACTGTTTCAAAAGATAAACTATGCTCATGGATACTTTTGTATTAATACATTGTTTTGGCCTGCGAGCCTACGTTTTGGCCATGTGTGGCCCACGATTGATTATTGAATATTTCCGTTATTCAACTAATCTAAACTGTAATGTTGTTGTGTATGTTTACTACTGAGTATGGATATATATTATGTTCATTGACGCCTTATATGATTAAGACACGTTGACTTGCGAGTGGCGTTACTTGGTCATACGGCGGTTGTACACGCGCCTAGGTGCGGTCTGGGGCGTGACAATACGTGTGTTGTATGTGGGATTTGGATTCCAGTAATCATCCATCAACAAACGTTGTTCACCTTCTCGACCACGGTCTATGTACTCACGGCTATTGGAACTTGTTGCAACCAAGGAAGCCATCAAAGCCATGCCCATGGGGTTGGAATAGGCTTCTTCATCTTCATCTTCATCTTCAATGATGGATTTGTAAAATGCGGGAAAACAACTCATGATTTTATTTGGCCTTGTAGTTGAATACTTGAAAGTAGGAAAAGTAAAGATGAGGTGTGTGACTTCAGTGTCAAGTGAGACCATGTATTTATAGTAATATAGTTCTTTGATGCCCACTCCAAGTGGAGGATACATCCAATTTATTATGTTTGTATACACCAAGTGGAGAATAACATCCAATGTGCTATGAAAGGACACATATAATGGAAAAGAGAATCCAATGTCATATAATGTGATATGAATGACACACATAATGGAAAAGAAAATCCAATGTGATATGAATACACACAACAATTTTGAAAAAGGAATCCAATGTGTTATGGATACACACACAAGTTGAGAACAGAATCCAATGCTCCAATGTGTTTGAACTCACTTCATCGAAAAATGTAAAAAAAAAATTATTAATGAAATTTATTTACTTTTACATTGAAATGTATCTTTTTTATTTTATAATTAATCAAAGAAAAATTTGAAAGAAAAACATTACTTATAATAATTTAATAAATGTTTTAGGATATGTAAAAAAATGTCCAGAGTTTTTTCAAATGGATAGAGTCCATTTTTTATATTTGACTGCCCTCCAAATACTCGGAATGGTGAATCTGATAAGAGCTATGCTAAAGGTACCCCAAATTTGTACCCCATTTTTACCTCATCTCTATTGTGTGGCCATAAATGAGGCAACTCATTTAAGTGAGACACCACTTAAATGAGTTGACCCATTCATGACCACACAATTAGGGGTGGGGTAAAAATGGCGTACAATTTTGGGGTACCTTTAGTATTATTCATGTGATAAAGCGTTGAAATTTCCTCATATCGTAGATGAGTATATCAGAGTGTCAAACTTTACTAGTGTCAACTCAACTAATCTGATTATGCCCATAATCCCATATGTCATTATTGATAAATTCGATTTACTGTTTCGGGCCGACATAAATTCATACTCGGTGTACCTGCAAGAAATCGTCTGAAATATTTGGCATGGAGAAAACCACTGCTGATGTCACGAACTGGACGGAGGCAGTAGAGGACCTCGTCAACGGTGGCGAACTCGAGAAGGCGGTTAATCTTCTAGAAACCATAGTCTCGAAGCTGGAAGTTGATTCAAAACCAAACGAATTATCGGCTGCACTTCTGGATTTGACGAAGCTCTATGCGTCTCAAGGCCTCTCTCTGAAGGCTGACGAGGCTCGCGCTCGCGCACTCATCCTCAAACAACACTCCATTTTGATTACTCAAGGAAAGAGGTATAAAACCCAAGATTGGTTTATGTTTATTTTAGAGATTGAGATGTTATTTCATAACACTGAAATCGGTTGAATATATTTTTATGGGCTGATTCTGATATGTATGAAATTTTTTATTTATGATATATTTTATTAATAAAATAAAGAAAAATATATGAAAAAATAGCTAAAATGGTCTTCTATACTAGTTTTATCCAATATATTCAAAGAAGAAACTTCAATCTTACTTTTTTTCTTATTATTACACACTTTAGCGCGCGAAATCAAAAGTAAGCTGGATAGTCGAAAAACAGAGTCACCAAACGGGCTCTAGTAACACATTTGATATTGAAGTTATTAGGTTACCTAGAAATCTACATTGAGTAGGTAGATTCTTTTTCCTAGAATGATTTTAATTGTAGTGCGGTTTTCTGCATTTGTCTATTTGTCTATTTAAGTCTGGTCTAAGCTATTTTAGTAGTAGTCTGACACTCTGACCCTGTTGAGCAAATGTTATGTATGTATGCATATGTTAGTATTGTTCAAATCTGTTTTGGTGGGTTTAATTCTGGTTAAATCTAATCTTTTTATGTATGATTTGATCTAGCATGAGTCCGAAATCAGTCAATTAAAAACATCTTTACCTTCCCCACCTTCAGGTTTCCACTTTAGGAAACTCATAAGCCTGGTCTATTTTATTGTGTTCCCATATCGAATAGTTTCTAATGAACATTTTTATTGATGTCCATTTTTTACTATGTTCTTCTTGAGTTTGATGATATTTTATATTCTAATATTTTGTCACTCATGTTATCATAGAAGCTAACATATGATGATACCATAAAGAACCAGTTTAGAAAGCATTTTTTTCATTTACAAATAAAAGCAGGACTGTTTATTTATGTCTATAGTATTGGAAAGTTATGGTCTGTAATTTGAAACCAAAAATATTTCTTAATGTCTTGAGCTTATTCAATGGCTCTTGCATTAGGCAACATTTTTGGTACTTTCATATTTTACAGCATACAATTTGGTTGCTAAGTGGGTGGAATGGTGGATAAGTGTATAAACGTTCTCACTTTCTAACTTTATTTTTTAGCTGCATTTTCAGGGATGTAGGCAATGCAAATACGTGTTATAGAGGCAAAGCAATTTCTGAAGAAAGTATTGTCTTATCTCCCTTCTTCTGTTGTAATGTTGCCCCATACTGCTTATGGATTTAAATGTCCTAAAATCCTCAATGTGTCTCTTTACTCTTTAGAGACTTGATCATACCGTTACTTTTCAGGTTGCTTGGTTTGCCACTTACTAACTTAATCTTCTTCAACCCTATGTTTGTTGCACTTATTTTTGTCTTTGTATTCTGAAAATTTGCGGTTTATTTTGTGAAGCTAATTATGAGGCTTCTTCCAACTTGCATGGTGATGGCTCACAGAATGGTGGTTCTTCAGATGATGGTGCGTACGTTCTGTTTGTCATATAAACTCTTGAGAGATCAAATAAAAGACAACCGAACCATTGTGTTGACGTGTTGTAGACTGTAGTGTACAAATATCTATTTTTCTGAACCCAAAAGACTATATACTTTTTTTTTTCAAAAGTAGAACTTTTATAATTTAATTGACTTATTTTGTATGTAACTTACAGATTGGGAAGCTTTAGTTGACCGTGATCCGAATGAATTGCTTTCACCATCAAGCTTGCCAGAGGTATCTAATCTTTCTTTGCATGATACAAAAGGTCAAGCACCCAAAAGACGTGGCAGAGGCACTTTCTTGTACAAAAAACATGCATTGTACAGCGATCAGCCATCTGGAGGGCCTATTGTGGATGATGATGTGGTTTCTGATAGCGGTGAAGAGGGTACAGATACAATGATTAATTGTAAGTTTATGCCATTTACATAAATCATTTCATTTTCACTATGATATACTCAAATCTGCTTATGCTGGGAAAATTTATCTGTTTACTAAAAGGGTTCGTTTTTTAGACTGATGTTTTTTTTATACTATGCTTTTCATATTTTTTTCTACACAGTGATTAGATAATTGTTATTCTGGCATTATATGTTTCCATATCATCATTTATTTCCATTGCGGATATACCATTTATTCATATGGTTTCAATAGTAATGTTTTGCTACTTGATTCTTTTTTCTGTTAGATAGAGTTGGTTTTACATTTAGTTGAACTACCATAAACTAGTGTAATTAAGCAATATTTGTGAAAATCAGATAAAAAGTTTTTTCTTGGACCAGTTAAAACTTAGTACGAATGGGAATTAGCTGTTTGCATGATAAAACAATTTTAGTATTAGTCGATCAAATAATGAGCATACTAGCCAAAAATAGTTGCAGTTCTTACCTTCCCCACAGTTATACTTCGTTTACCATGTTAATTATCATTGCCTACGTATCTCTGGTGATTATCTAGGGATCCACAATGGGAATTAGCTGTTTGCATGATATGATGATAAAACAATTTTAGTCTTAGTGGATGCAGTCATGCAGAGGATCAATGAAATAATGAGCATACTAGCCAAAAATAGTTGCAGTTCGTACCTTCCAAAGATATACTTTATCATTTACCATGTTAATTGCTATTGCCTACTTTATCATTGACCATGCAATGTCAATTTCATCTAGAGATCCACAATTTAAGATTTTTTTCCTTAAAAGCCTTCAGAACATTCAACATTCCAATCTAAAGGACACTGAACCATCTTGTACTTGTTAATTAAAATATATCTGATATTGATTAATCTCTCTGTGTTATTTTCTTTTTTAGAGATCCCGATATTTTCAATATTTATGGAGCTGTTATTTGCGATCCACGGTAGAGGCTTATTTCTACAAGTTTTGATTGCAGTGGTCAATCAATGATCATGTCTATAGTTTTGAGCTCTTTGTAGATTCACTAATTTCAATTGCTTGCTCATTGCAGTAATCAATTTTTAGAGCTCTTTGTAGTTTCACCTATGTGCAGTGTATCCATCCATTCTCTTTTCTGATCCCTTGCCTCCCATCATAATTACAGTAAAGTATGGTTCACACCATGTGCTTGTTCTAGCTGACTTCCCTCCAAGCACTAGGATAACTGACTTGGAAAAGCTACTTCAGAAGCATAAAGATCAGGTTGTGATCCGTTGGGTCCATGATACAGTTGCCCTTGCAGTATTTAGAACACCATCATTAGGTAACTTTTTATGATCCACTCATTTTTTTGTTTCATCACTCTGTGAAAATGTCTTTGCCTTTCCAATTATGAACCTTTATCTGCAACTTCCTATGCTAGATTAATCTCAGATGAGCATGACACCCCCTCATTTAGCTGTCGTAATTATGTCGGGATTGTAGGCGTAGGTGGTTATAGATAATATCACCCACAAAACCAAAAGTAGCATACAGCTACAATGTTTTCTTTTTCCATGTGTACAAGACTCATAGGTCTAAGCATAAAGCATGAAAGTCTGGTTCAGTAGATAAGGTGCAGTTTATATGATAAGTCTTACTTTATATGAATGCATTGAAAAACGAGTTCAGTATGTAAAGGACAGTTGATTTTATGTTCTTAATATTAGAAACTCAGGTAAGGTGCTTCCTCCCTTCTTTTAATCAAAAAATTTAACCAACATGTACTACATTATGTCTCTTTCTTAAGGGTTACAAGAAGTTGGTTAGACATTGATACCTGCTTTAGGTAGATTAAAAATTTATCGAGTTTATATCATTTACATGTTGACCACTGCTTTCTGTCTAAGCCCCCTACTTTCTTGAAGGCCATTTATGTAAAACAGCCCTCCATTAGGCATTTTGGCATTGCAGATATTTTTACGATCATTTCATTTCATTTTCATTTACCCCAGTGCCGCAAAGGCCTCCCACCTACGGTGGGGTAAGGGGGGGTCGGATGTACGCAGTCTTACCTCTGTACTAAAGCACAGAGAGACTGTTTCCGGATGACATATAGTGAAAATCGCGTCCAAAATTGCATGGACTGACTGCTGCTCCATAACAAAGAAGCGCATACAGTTTAGTGAGCCATTTTGCTTTATTCCATCATAATCTCAAGCCAAAAAATAATGAATCTTTGGCTCCATTGCAAATTATGGAAAGAGATATTTTTACGATGAAACACGTTTTTATTTGCCTGACTAGTTCATACTTGCGGGCATCAGATAATGTGAAAAATAACATTAATTCATCCTCAAGTTAACATTGTAAAGTGTAATAATATTCAATTGTGGGTTGAAAATCTTTTGATTGAATGCCACTGACTGTCTTATAATAGTGAGTCTAAACATTAAATGTAGTTGTATCTTTTCGTTCTACGCTAATCTTAATTTGGAAATTTTCACAAATGATTCTGAACTTGATTAATTAAGATGTTTATTTGAAAAGTGTTTTCAAATATGGCCTAACTAAGACTTCAATTAACTAATTAATTCTGATGCAAAATGATATTTTAGGGTACTTGAGTGTCTCCATGAAGGGAATATACATATATGCATATATACTGCATTCATGTACTTAATAACATTATATCTGATGCTTCAAAGTGGCTTGCTTTCAATGGTTGGAAGTTCGTGGTGGAAGTTCGTTTCGCTTCACATGTATTGGCTTTTACAATAAGTACTTTAAAGGTTTTATCTTTTTTGTTTATATTGTGATGCAGCTCAAGAAGCAAGTAGATCTATTGATTGGCCATATTCAATGCGTATTCTTAAAGAGGATGATGAAATTTTGAACAAAATTTCACCTAGAGGTAATATGCAGCCATCTCTATTTATTGATTTTCCAAGGTAATAAAAACATACTCGTATTAAAGTAACTCCATTCACATGACTACTATTTAGTGCTAGCTGTAGAACTGTTTTGTGTTTGTTTAAAAAAATGTAATTAGTTTTTGGTATACAGTGAAAATGTTGCCTTTCTTTGTATTCTCATCCCAGACTCCATTTAATGATGCCCATATCATTTTTACGCGAACTTCGTTGGTTGATTTAGCATATTCCTACTTCCCAATGAGGAAAAATGTGAATTTTTTACTTGACTGTTAAATTTGCCTTGCATTTATCTGTAAAAGCCCGTTCTAATAGTATAGAAGAACTTCAATTTTTCGTTTCTCCATTTTGCTTGTGAACAAATATGAGAATAATAATTTACATATCCTAAACTTTGGAGAGGTATGAGTTGGATATCCCAAACTTGCAGTGTAAAATAAATATCATAAACTTCACATTATAAGTGATCTCAGGCAAGGTTTTGAAAGGCGAAATCGGGCCGCGAGACGTGATCATATTTTAAATGTTCAGAGTCTATAAATCATGCACTTAATACTGTAAACTTACATTTGTAAAAAAAAAAAGACACACGTCTATAGTGCTAAGATGTATAAATCATACCCGCACGGGTAGCTTAGTTGGTCGAGTGGTGGGAAAAATTGGACGTAGACCAAGGTTCGAATCCCGCAGCGGCCAAAAGGGGGTTTTCAGAACCTGAAATAAGGCTGGCCCTCTGGTGCGCACGGGTAAAGGCCTACTGCCGCTTTGCCGACTGAGTCATCGTGATTTACTCCCCCACCATCCTGTCGGTCGGGGTGGGGGGCCCTTGGGGTTGGGGATTCAACCTTTTGGACGAAGATGTATAAATCATGCATACAAGCTTGGTATACATGTGAAGCGAAACGAACTTCCACGTCTATAGTTCTAAAAAAAGACGCACGTCTTATCATGAGGTATATGCTATTTAAATCATGCATGCAAGCTTGGTACATTCAGCTCACACACCTCCAAAGTTTTGAATATTTAGTTACTACTCCCAAAAAATAGTCTTTTTAGCAGTATAATAGAGTTAGAATTGAATATTCAGATCTAGAGCCTCCTCGTCAAAGGCCGCAGACCTCAGCTCGAACTGCTCAGAGATTGATTGCTCAAAGTATGGGTATAAGAGTACCCTCAGGCTTTGGGGCCAGAGAGTTGAGGAAGCAAGAAGAAGAGAGGAAGAGCCGAATAATTTCTAGACATAGTATGAAGGAAGATGCTTGGGGTGATGATATCAACTAAGGATGCAATGAGTAGTCGTTTAATTGTGTTACATACCATTCAAGAGCACAAGTGAGAGTAAGACTTAAATTCATGTGTTTTATCAAGATCTGCTAAGTTCAGCTTGTTTGTAGCCATCTTTTTTCTTTTACTCGGCTTGTGTATATTGCCAGAGTTTAGTAGGAGAAAACTCTTTGGCATGAATGAATTGATGAGCGGTTTCATTTTGTAATACTCACCGAAAATGATATGTTAGATTGTTAGAATGAATCGAAAGCTACTTTTGTGAGCTTTTTAATAAGGTTAGCTTTTAGTGATCGAAAAAATCTTAAAGAGAGAAGGTAGTAGCTGTTTGGTAAAAAGCTTACTGTTTGATTTAGTTCGGTTTGAAATACAAGTTGTTATGAGATTTTTTTGTAAAAAACTGTTAGGACTAATTAATACCAAAAGTTATGGGATTTTTCAGATGTTACTCTCTGTAGCATCTCAAAAAATGTTTTTTAATTTTTGAAAAGCTCTTCAAAATTGTCATGCCAATCATATAAGTAGAAGCTTTTAAGACCTTTTGAACATTACAAAAGCTAGAAGGTAGGGACTTGTGTTATTTATAGTCTCTTAAAATGTCTTATTACGTAGTACTCCACTACTCCGTATTTGTTATATTGTGTTATTTATAGTCTCTTAAAAGGTCTTATTACGTAGTACTCCACTACTCCGTATTTGTTAATTGTTATATGAAGCGATCAGAATTCAGAACTACATATTTGTTTGAATTAAACTTCTTGTTTGAATATTGCATCTTATTGATGAAGCGTTTCATATTTGTGTTCTTAAAAGATCACAAGAAACACATACTAAATTTTAAATTTTATACTATTCGCAATTTCGCATGCTCTATTTTGATTAAATTTTATTTATAAATATGCTAGGAATCAAATTTTGAAAAAACATTATCAAGTTCTATTCATTTTAAAATCAATAATCTGATTTTTTAGTAATAAGGAAAAAAATATCAATGATCAAATATGTATTCGTAAACATGAAAATGTAAAAGTTGCAATTAAAAAAGAATGAGATAAGTATTAAGAATTAATGAAACAAGAAGTTTATTTAGATTGAAGGATAGTATAGAGTAAGGCTATTATCGAACCGAACATTTATCGAGCAGTTTGAGCTCGTGTTCGTTTTCGAGCTTAACGAATCGAGCTTAACGAACTCCGAATCCGAATACAAGCTCCAATTACAGTTCGAAAAAAAATGAGCCGAGCTCGAACATGATGGTATTCGGTTCGATACGTCATTGAGCCTATCGAACACTTGTATAAATAAATAATTTTTTACCCATATGTCCACTTTACTTTCTTATCTACTAATTCAAATACTTAGTTATTTATTACGGAGTATCACTTATGAAGATCTTTTTTCGAACTTGAGCTCTAATCGAACTGTTGTTCATTAAACGAGCTTGTGTTTGAACTCAAGCTCTAATCGAACTTTTTTGTTCAAACTTTTTTCGAGCCTATCAAGTATCCGAACCGAGCTTCGAACACAGACCAAACCGAGCTCGAGCCTAATAATTAGAGCTCATCGAGCTTCGAGCATGAACTCGAGCACTATCAAAACACTATCGAACCGAGCTCGAGTCTATGGTGTTCAGGCTCGACTCGGTTCGTTAACGACCCTAGTACGGAGTAGGAATTGAGAAGTGAAATTCTTTTGGATAGGTCATAATGTAAGTACATAACAAGTCATCAGTTCTTTATATTTCATTTTAATTCTAGTTTTACGAATTACTGGACTCATTATCTATCGGTCTGATTAAAGTTCAATTACATTCTCTCAATTAATTGTATGATCGGTACTAAGCCCTCGTGGATGGGATGTCCTTTTTTTAATATTACTTGGTGAGGAAACACATGTATCATGTGATTCATATTTGCTTGAAAAATATGAGCAACATTCTCCACATGATGAGGAAAACTTTTCTCATCGGCCGATGTTGTATATTAAAAAAGTCATTAGCATCACTAAAGTCGGCCTCATAAGTTGAATCAGATAGTTTAGATTGACCATTCATTGTTTGAATGAGAAAAAAACATGATCTACCAGCCCAATTGAAATCTACTCTAGTCTTTGAATTTATTTAATTTAGATTTCCATTATATAAAAATGGTAAACAATTAGCCCGTTTAAACGTATATAAATGGTAAATAATGATATGGACCAATCATATGCATTGTAGATATGGATTCATACTTATCGATGGGGTACTATATATAGCATTCACATGTTTATACGTTTTTTTAAATGTGTTGTTATAAAGGTTATTGTTTATTGATGTACAATTAATATCATGTTCAATTAAGTTTAATTTATGATTCTTAAATTGCACTTAGTAAAATCATATTCCATTTGTGTGCATTAAGTAACGATTGAATCTTTTTAAAAATTACATATTGATAGATATAGTAGAATTATATGAATATTTTTTTTTGCTACCGATTTTGAATATTAATTACTCCCATGTTCCCGTGTAAAACCTTACTAACTTTCTCGATTTAACCTTCACAAAAAAATCATTTCTATTTAAAGTATCAAATCTATGGTTAAATTTATTTTTTCTCATTTGCACAAATAATAACCACACAATTTTTACTTTCATATTCTACATGCAAGTTAGTTTTGGTTAAGTCTTATGATTGTATGTTAGACAATGTTCGTACCTGGATTCACCGTGCTTAAATATAGTTTATTATTCTATTTTATATTTTAAAACCACAATGATTCATTTTTTTAATTTATATGTCTCTTAATTAATTTTGCATGTGTATGTTTGTCATATTTTTAAATGATTTCATTTATATTTATTGCTTCGATCCTTATTTTTCTAATGTTTTATTTGTAACTTTCTACATACGATGAATTATACTTATACTTCATTATCGATTGCTATTAATTATTGAGTATTAAATAGTGTTTCATTAATTGTGACAACATATTTTTACTTTGTTTGGCTCTAAATGCAATTCTATTTGGATTTCCACCATATTCTCTTTATATACGAAGTATATAAACCTGTTAGATACAAAGAAGTCTTGTTAATCGAGTTTTGCGCAATACGAGTAGACTTAGTTTTTTTCAAAAGAAATTAGTCGTGCTTTTAAAAAGTCATCTTCTCTTAGATGAAGAAGACATTTGTCTCGGAGGAGGGGGTGGGGCATTTCGATATGGTTCACGAAACTCATTAAATAAATTACTTGCATCGGAAAATTGCACTTGAACGCCCATGGGGTAATCTTTGTACGTAGGAAAAATAATTAGTCTATTACTATAGAAACAACTATAATAATACTCTACAACTTTAAAACGGGGAGCTAAATATAAAAGCAATAACATTAATAGAGGGAATGTATGAATAATGTTTAAAGAAATTTATTTTCATTTGCTCACAAAATGGATGCATATACTATGTATTTGGCAGTTTCAAATTATTTATTCAAACACGCTCGCAAGACCAAAAACTTCAAAAGCAAACATACCTAGTTCATTTGTGAAAAATACTAAAACGATCAAATCTTTTTTATAGTGATGTTCATTTCGTACGGTTTAATAAAATGACTATTTTTATAAGGCTTAACGTTGTTCACTTGTGTTCATTTCGTCCTTAAGTAGTTAAGTGTACCCATTCCTTGTAAGTCGGGCATCTTTTATCAAAGATTTTCTGCTACTTTTAGGCCTTCGACTATTATATCATTGACATTTTTGGTACTTGGCTTTGATTTTTTTCACTTTTGGTCCTTGACTATCTTGCTAGAGACACTTTTGGTACACGTCTTTGAAAATTTCCATATTTAGTCCTCCAATTTTATTAAAAGTGACACTTTGGTTCTTCAACTATTATAATAATAACATTTTTAGTCCTCCATTTATTGTATCAAAATCATATTGGAAGGATTAAAATTGAAAATTTGATAATACTCAGAGGACTAAATGTGGGAAACTTTGAAGTCAATGACTAAAAATGTCTCTAGAACAATAGTCGAGGACTAGAATTGGAAAAATTAAAAGTCGAGTACCAAAAGTGTCAATGACACTATAGTCGGGGACCAAAAATGGAAAAAACTCTTTTATCAAAATAGGTTCGTATTACAGTCAAAGTTGTGCATTACCAAAAGTATTATAATTTTTACTAATACATAATTAAATATAATTACAGTCAAAGTTGCGCATTGGCAAACGTGAAAGTCAAACTGTTGCAAGAATTAAAGTACAGAGGATAGTAATATTTATGGAATATTGTGGAAATGTTAAATAATGGTAATTATTATATAAAAATTAAGAGCTCGTTTGGTAACATTTTATTTCGGCTTATCAGACTTATCAGTCAACGTTTTTACCAATCACGTAATTTTTGATTTCATGCGCTGAATTGTGTAATAATAAGAAAAAGTAAGATTGAAATTATTTTTCTGATTGTATTTACTGAAGTTACTGTAGAAGATCGTTTTAGTTATTTCCCATATAATTTTTTCTTTATATAATTAATAAAATATATTTTAAATATCATTTTTTTCATAAATCAACTGAATTAACCCCAAAACTTGAAATATTTCACGAGAATCAATCGATTGAGCTATAGTTATCAAACACGCTCTGAACTAGGGCTGAGCAAAAACCGACCCGGCCCGAAAAACCCGATTTTTTTTCCGGGTTTTATCCGAATGGATATGGATATCCGATCCGACTATCCATATCCGAAAAATTATATGGGTTTGGGCGGGTACCGGGTTGCGGGTAGGGTTTATAAAACCCTAACCCGATCCGCCCGAAAAATCCGACATACCAAAACGGCGTCGTTTTGAATTTTATATATATACCTACGTATAACTTTTCTACCCGGCCTAACCCTATCCGCCTCTTCGATCTGTCTTCTACTCTTCGCTCTATCCTCTCTCTAACTCTCTTATGTCTGAACCCTTACTCTCCTCTCTCGGTCTTTGATTTCCTTCTTCAATTACTTCTATAGTTCTATACTTCTATTTGGTATTTTGGTGGAAGCTCTCACACAGAAAGGCACACAGTCTTGCTGATTCGCTGAAACCCTAATCGGTGGAAATCGTTCTTCGATCATTCCAAAGTTTGTAGTCTATTGCATTGTCTCTGACTCTGAGGTATTGATATCTACGGTTTTGTTGTGAATTTGTATTTGAATGTTTGATAAAATGAATGATTCTTGCTGAAACCCTATGATGATTGTATTTGAATCTATGATGTTGACGAGTGACTATGAATCTATGATGATGTTGATGTGTTCATGTTTAATAATATGTTGATGTCTCTAAGTTGTG